AAATGGTATCAGTAAAATAAAATTTCTATAATAAAATACAGTGTAAAAATTTCTGAAAGAAATGAAAAAATATTTTTTTTTTTATTTTATTTTTTGTTATAAAATATCAAGTTCCAGATTAGTGTGTAGAAATCAGGGGTCAGCGTTGGTTATTTTGAGCAGTTTCCAAAAATTTGCAGTCTCTAATGTTAGTCAGTGTGGGATCGCGTGATAGTAAATCCGTCATTAAAAATTCTTTTTCGCGCCGTATAGCTACAAATCATCAATGCAACCATTGTGAGGCAAAGTTTTGTTTTCCAAAAAATTCTCGGCGCCTTCATTTATCAATTCAACGCCTTTGTTTATTTTCTTTTAGACACTTTTTAAAAACCAATTTACAATATAACAATGTTTAAAAACGAAAAATAAAAGCGAACAAATTTTATCTTTTTTCTTTATAAAAAAAAGGATTTTTTTAAAAAAAATTACCTGAAACAGCGATTTACTAGAATAGCGAAATATTTAACTGAAATATATATATAAAACTTTTGCTACTATTATAAAATATTTAGCTGTTTTAGGTAAATTTTTTTTTTTTTTTTTTTAGAAGTGAAATATTGTAATTTTTAATGGGTGAGTCTCCCATTGAAATTGTGATACTAATTGAATGATTGCTGGTCAATTTGATTCACAGTGGATTTTGATCTAATTATAAAATGGAGAATATAATTTTTAAAAAATCCTTTTTCTCGCACCTCTCAATTATTATTTTTTTTTTTTTCACGACTATTATCATTGAAACTAATCCAAGATATAGATATTGAATGAGTTTCAACGCCTGCAGGGTGGCCCGAAAAACCGGTTCCCTTTAATGACAGACTATTCTGCATCCGCTGTGCGCGGATTTTAATGTGGTTTTTTGGATTCAATAACCGCACTAAGAGTATGGTGTTTCGTTTCTCATATACCTTTTGTATTCTATACTTGCTACTGTACTTGCAAATGAATTAAATTTTCTTCCTTTTTGATTTCTTCATCATTTTTTATTATCTTCTTCTTTCCTCTAAATATTTTCTATACATAAAAAAAAATCTTTAATTCAAAGAAATTGATTTTTTTGATTCAAAGAAATCAATTACTTTGACAAATTTTTTTTTATGATATACAAAAAGAAAATTTATTTGTTTCAAATAAATTATCTTTTGATTCAAAAAAAATTATCTTCGTTTCAAAGAAATTTTTTTATAATAACTAAATATTATAATTATCAAGGAAAAATTTACATTATTTTTCACATTTATTGCGTTTGTAAAATTGGTCTTAATTTTTAAAAATAAATAAAAAAAAAAAAAAATTACTTGTGTTTTTCTTATTAAAAAGTTAATAACTATTGTCTCGATATTATTTGCATATGAATTGTACATAATAATTTGTTCTCCTTGAATTTATGTTTGGAATTAATTTAAATACTGAAAATTCTATGTTAAATATAATTATTATCATTTATAATTTGAATAGAAGAAAAATTTCTATTTAAAATATTGTAACATTGTTTTTTTTTTAAACTCTATGTAACATATATACATTATATTATTCATTGTAGGCAGGTTGAAACAGGTGTTTAAAATATGTGAGCGTATAAACCTGTTTATTTAGTGAAACGAAACCGATGTTTGGCGCCCTCTCAATGTTGAGATCAGAAAACTCGTTAAGCAAACATTCAAATGATAAGTAGTTTCAAGTATTATGTTTCAATATTCTATCATGTTATCATAAATATTTTTTATTAGCTGTAAAAAAGTATAACATCTTATTTTTTGTTTATTTAATTTAGTAATTTTTATTCTTATTTCGAAATATTAATTTTTTTTTACTTTTTTTTTGACTTTATTAATTTTTGTTAATTCCATTTAGTAATTTTTATTTGAAAATTTTTTTTATAAATATTTATAAATATAAATAAATAAATGTAAATATTAATAAATATTTTAAAATAATTAATTTTAAGAAATAAGGATAAATAATATTTACCGGCCATGTGAAATAAAATATTACCAACTGAAATTTTCAGATTGTGAATAAATTACAGTTGAATACAGTGGGAATCTTATTTACCGACGCCTCTTGGTTAAATCATCTCCGTTCAAGTAGTTTCAAGTGCTTGTCTCTAGGTTCGCCACCTACACACTATGTCAACCACTTTCCACCCTTCGTCATTATTTTACATTCAAATAAGAGTGACTTTCCCTATATTTATTATCAAAAATAATTTTTAGGGTGTAAAAAGTAGTCTCTTAATAATAGACATAACAAAATTAAAAGAATGCATTTATAATATTATGTATATTGCAAAATTAATTTTTTTTTTGCAGAGAATAAAAATTATAAATAAAAAATGTATATATATATTGTCTCAGTAAAACAGTAATTTTTTTAATTGAAATAAAAACAATATTGTCTGACTAAAACCGACTTTTACTACTGGTAATAAAAATTTTTTTTCCTTGACTATGGGAAATTTGTAGTATTAAATTAATGTATCTAGAAATGAAAAAATTTTTTCTGTTGTCTGACTGAAATATACTTTTACTACTGATAATATAATTGAAATATATTTTCTGTCTGACCATAGTAAAAATATACTACTTTATCTACTGAATTATTATTTTTCTTTACAATTTCAATATTTTGAAATTATGTCGTCTGACTAAAACCTAATTTTTCTACTTTACTTTACTAAAATTATAACGTAAAAAATCATCAATATCATTAAAACTTTAATTTTAAAATTGAAAAAGTTTAAAAATAAATTTGCCCGACTAAAAAAAGTTTTTACTACTGATATTAAAATTTTTTGAAAAAAATTGTAATTCAGTGTCTGACTATTACATATTTATTTTCATTATTCAAAAAACTGTTTTATCATCAGTCGGTACGGTAGATTTCTATGTCGGTAATTTTTTATATTTTCATTTGGGGTTGTTCACAAAATACGTAACGCTTCCAGGGGGAAAGGGGGGGTCAAGCTATTTGTTACGGACAGACAAAAAAATGGCGCTAATGTATGTAACTAAGTGTTACATAGAGGGAGAGGGGTGGGTTAAAATTTTCAAAAAAAGCGTTACATATTTTGTAAACAGCCCTATTTTTCAAAAAACTGTTTTATCATCAGTCAGTAATGTAGATTTCTATATCGGTAATTTTTGTATTTTTATTTTTCAAAAAACTGTTTTACCATCAGTTGGTATTATAGATTTTTGTGACGGTATTTTTTTATATTTTCAGTTTTTCGGTCTCTTAAAATCCAATGTACTAGGGTTTCACTGCAGTTTCATCATTGCAATAATTTAAACCAATGGCTGACTAAGACAAAATTTTACTACTGATATTAAAAGTAAAAAAAAAAATTCTGTCTGACCATGGCAGATTTATACTACTCAATTAGTGATTCTAATAATAATTTGTCATAATTTTCAGTCTAATACAAACTTTTACTATTGATAATAAAATTTCAAAAAGATGAAATTTGCTGTCTGACTAAAATCTACTTTACTAAAATTATAAGTAAAAAATATATTTTCTCACTAAAACAGTAATTTTAAAATTGAAAAAATTTAAAAATAATTTTGTCTGATTAAAACGCGTTTTTACTACTGATAATAAAATTACAAAAAAGCTGTGTCTGACCATGGCAGATTTATACTACTTTATTAATGTTTCTATAATAATTGCCATAATTTGGTCTGACTTGAACAAACTTTTACTACTGATAATAAAATTTCAAAAAAGCTGTGTCTGCTCATGGCATATTTATACTACTTAATTAATGTTTCTATAGTCATTATTTGCCATAATTTTTTGTCTGACTAAAACAAACTTTTACTACCGATAATGAAAATAAAACAAAAAGTTAAAAATTTTGTCTAATCATACTAGACTTATTCTACTAAATTAATATTAACTAAAGATTTTGAAATTATTTTGTCTGACTAAAACCTACTTTTACTACTGAATAAAAAGTTATGAAAATTCATATACCTTTCTTTCACTTAAAAACAAATATATATTCTACTAGTTTAATCATATCAAAATTGCAATAATTTGAAACAATGTCTGACCAAAATACACTTTTACTACTGATAATAAAATTTCAAAAAAGCTGTGTCTGACCATGTCAGATTTATACTACTTAATTAATATTTCTAATAATAATTGCCATAATTTTGGCTGACTTAAACAAACTTTTACTACTGATAATAAAGTTAAAAAAAATTCTGTCTGACCATGGCAGATTTATACTACTTAATTAATGTTTCAAATAATAATTGCCATAATTTTGTCTGACTTAATTAAACTTTTACTACTAATAATAAAATAATAAAAAATTCTGTCTGACCATGGCAGATTTATACTACTTAATTAATGTTTATAATAATAATTGCCATAATTTGGTCCGACTTGAACAAACTTTTACTACTGATAATCAAAATTCAAAAAAGCTGTGTCTGACCATGGCTGATTTATACTACTTAATTAATATTTCTAATAATAATTGCCATAATTTTCGGCTGACTTAAACAAACTTTTACTACTGATAATAAAATAATAAAAAAATCCTGTCTGACCATGTCAGATTTATACTACTTAATTAATATTTCTAATAATAATTGCCATAATTTTGGCTGACTTAAACAAACTTTCACTACTAATAATAAAATAGTAAAAAATTCTGTCTGACCATGGCAGATTTATACTACTTAAATTATGTTTCTTATAATAATTGCCATAATTTTGTCTGACTTAAACAAACTTTTACTACTGATAATAAAATTTCAAAAAAGCTGTGTCTGACCATGGCAAATTTATACTAATGCAAACAAACGAAAAAAAAATAGAAAAAACAGAAAAACATTGAAAAAAAATAGAAAAAAATACAAAAAAATTGAACAAAAAAAAATTAATAAAAAAGAAATAAAAATTTATTCTAAAGAATGGGTAAAATAAATGATTGTCATCACATATTTATTTTTTTATTAAGTTTATTTTATATATCGACAACAACACGTCATACATTAGAAAACAGAAGGTTTCTTGAAGCAAACTTGAATGAAAAGTTTTGTGGAACAATCCGAGAGACACTATGTGAGTGTGCCGCGCCATCATCTATGGAGTCGTATATATATATTAATATTGTGTGTAATATCGCATGTGTGACAGTGTCTATAATGGAAATTATGTGTGATTGTGTGTGTACATGTATCGTGGGGGTGTCACTTGCATTTGTCATGATACTCTTGTGTGTCGCCTAGCCTCTTTTTTTTCATCTTTTATCTTGGTTTTTTTTTTTATTATTATTTTCTCTCTCTCTCTTTCTCTCTCTCTCTCTCTCTATCGCTCTTTCATTCTCTTTCTCTTGCACTCTAGGTGTAGCACTTCGTGTGTATTTATAGAGTGGCCTTTTTTTTATTATTTTTTTTTTTTTTCGTGCGTGAGTATGTACAGAGGCCCAAGTAGAGGCCAGTTGTTACACACTGGCACACAAACATGTACAAACATGAAATATAATAAACATCGTGAATGCTGAACAAAATAAATTTTTTTTACTGATCTCACTACGCCGTCCATTTTTTTTTTTTTTTTTTTTTTTTTTTTTTATTATTTTTTTTATTATCACCTTTTTTTCCCGAAGAATTCTATTATATGAGTGATTGTCTCGAGTTGTAGTATTAATATTGGAAAATTTTTCTTTTTATTAATATTAAAACTGGAGATGATCGTTTACAAAATAAGCCGCTCGTCAATAGAAGGAGAAAAAATTTGATCAATTTCATTTTATTCGAAAAATAGAGGGAAGAAAAAAAAGTAAGGAAATGTTTTTTTTTTAATCTATTTTTTTTGATTTTAAAAACGAATAAAATGAGAGCGATCGTAATAAGACGAGACACGGCAGTGCGGAGATAATGCAGGAATGTTGGTTTGATTTTTTTTTTGAGAGATTTTTTTTTTTTTTGTCTCTTTCCAAAATCGCGTTGCGCACAATTGAACTCGGTGGCATATCTCAGCGTCTCCTCTTCGCAATTTATGTACAATTTTACAACCTACCTCGCACCGACATATAATTTTTTTTTTACTTTTTCCCCTTTAAGTACACGAATAGGACCTAGACATCGTTTTTTTTTACACTATACTAACGAAATCTAAACGTTCAATTTTCGTTTCACACTAGGAATAATAAATTTTGCCATATCGTTAGTATACCTTTTTTTTTATAGAAATATGCTTACAAAAATAGAATTTCGCGAGACGCCGAGAGTATATTTTCAAAGCCAATGTGGCGTGCAAATTTTGGATTGATATTTTCGAAATGAACTTTTTTGTCCAAAAAAAAAGATCCAAACATTCCGTGCGTAATTAATTTTTTTTTTTTTTTAGAATTCTTACAAAAAAAAAAATTTTTTTTTTTTTTTTTCTTACCCCTTCCCTGAAGTACTTGACCTATATTGTGTCTCGAAATTGTTTTTAACACTATAAATACAATTTTTGCGACGTGGTGATAAAAATGAAAAGAAAAAAAAAAAAATTAATAAATTCTTAAAAATGTCGACAATAACATAAATTTGTTCGTATGCACAATAACCTCTTTTTTTCCTCTTTTTTCTCATTCACGTGCACTCACGCGCGCTTCTAAACCTCAAATTAATTTTTTTTTTTTTTTTTTTTTCATCATTTAGACTCATTACAATATTACAATATTAGATTACATTATATCATAGCTAGCGTTTATTCAATAAATTTTACATACTTTGATACGCAGTATGATGGTTCCAAAAACGGTCACCGGCCAACCAAATTTTGTTCACACATCAATACACCTACGCTCAGTATTTGAAGTAATTTGTACTTGTAGCCATATATTATAAATATTTTTTTTAATCGGCCCCACTTTTTTTTTTTTTTTTTTTTTTTTGTTTCTTTTTGGCTCTCCCCTTAATTTTTTTTCAACACTCGCGCCGCTAAGTCGAGGCCTTTTTTTTTTTTTTTTTTTTTCTTTTTTTTTTGATACGAATATTTAAATAGTACACAATTTTTTTTTATTTTGTAAACCTTTCGACCTGTCGAAATCCTTTCTCCTTGTCTGTTTTTTTTTTGCGCTTAATAGTTATCGAGATATTGCCAAAAAAAAAAAGAAAAATTTATTAAAAAAGAAAATTTAAAGATCGATTGTTTTTTTTTTTTGTCGAAATGAGAAGCGCCGGATTAATTTTTATTTTTTACATTTCTCATGTTGTAAATTTTGCACCCGGCGCTCTTTGTGGCATTTCGAGCCTGTATCGAGATAGAGGCGCGGTCACCGGGCGACCAGTTCACCCTCCCAAAAAATTTATACAATAATTTTTTTTTTTCACTCTTTTTCCTCTTTTTCATTTTTGGTTTTTTTTTTTTTTTTTTTGAGGATATTTGAGTCATATACAGTCATTCAACATTCACGCACGACCCCTTTTCAATAAAGTTTCCTCCCCCTATAATAGACCTTTTTACAATAATTTCTTTAGAGCTCCCTAAAATCGCGAGAAATAGTTAAATTTTTATACATCTAAAGTTACTTGCACCCGTTTCGGACGGGGCCGCCGGTGACCATGCCGTCAATCGCGACGCGGATGCAAACTATCGATTTTTTCCTTCATTTTGTTATGTTTTTTTTTTTTTTTTTTTTTTTTTATTTATTTTTTATTATTCCTCTCACACAATTTTCCTCTTTCTCTCTCTCGTTCTATCTTGCGCGCGCGCTATTCCGGATATTTTTTTCTATCTCATTCGAAAAAGTTTTTTTCTTTTTTTTTTTTTTTAATCCTGTCGCTTTCCTGCCGCTTTCAAATTTCGAAATGTTATAACCCTTATAAAATGTACATTCACTATAGTTTATCCCATTAGTTTTTAAGATACAACAACGTACTATATGTATATGGCTCTACAGATGTTCGCTTGCACTGTAACTCAAAAATTGTGTCATGGTGTAGTAAACGTCTCCCGGCATTGAAATGATCGAATTTTCACCTATAGACTCTTCGAATTTTTTTTTTTTTTTGGAATTTCATTTTTTTCAACAATCAAATGAATGAAACAGTGAAAATTTTCGCAAATTCCAAATAATATATTTTGATTTTAAAATAGTGGCAGAAAAAAAGTAATTTACACCCCTTAACAACATTAATTTCGATAGACTTAAATCTCTTAACAGAGAGATAAAATTAAATTTAATCAAAATAATCTCAAATTAATTAATTTACGTTTCAAATTTTTATTTTTCATTGTTAAATTTATCATTTCTTAGCTTTTCAATTGTTTATCAACTTTATCGGTACCTTAATGGGTACCATATAATAACCGGTACCATAGTAACCGGAACCATATAGTAACCGGTACCACAGTTACAGGAACCATATAGTAACCGGTACCATAATAACCGGAACCATAGAGTAACCGGTACCATAGTAACCGGAACCATATAATAACCGGTACCACAGAGTAACCGGTACCATAGAGTAACCGGTACCATAGTAACCGAAACCATATAATAACCGGTACCATAGAGTAACCGGTACCATAGTAACCGGAACCATAGAGTAACCGGTACCATTATAACTGGTACCATAGTAACCGGTACCATTATAACTGGTACCATAGTAACCGGTACCATATACTAACCGGTACCATAGTAACCAGAAGCATATAGTAACCGGTACCATAGTAACCGAAACCATATAGTAACCGGAACCATAGAGTAACCGGTACCATAGTAACCGGAACCATAGAGTAACCGGTACCATTATAACTGGTACCATAGTAACCGGTACCATTATAACTGGTACCATAGTAACCGGTACCATATACTAACCGGTACCATAGTAACCAGAAGCATATAGTAACCGGTACCATAGTAACCGAAACCATATAGTAACCGGAACCATAGAGTAACCGGTACCATAGTAACCGGAACCATATAGTAACCGGTACCACAGTTACAGGAACCATATAGTAACCGGTACCATAATAACCGGAACCATAGAGTAACCGGTACCATAGTAACCGGAACCATAGAGTAACCGGTACCATAGTACCCGGAACCATAGAGTAACCGGTACCATAGTAACCGGAACCATATAATAACCGGTACCATAGAGTAACCGGTACCATAGTAACCGGAACCATATAGTAACCGGTACCATAGTAACGGCAACCATATAGTAATCGGTACCATAGAGTAACCGGTACCATAGTAACGGGAATTATATAGTAACCGGTACCATAGAGTAACCGGTACCATAGTAACCGAAACCATATAGTAACCGGTACCGTAAAAAATGTTAACAATTCCCTTTTTTATTTTTCATTTAGAAATTCATGTGCTAAAAAAAAGTCGAAGTGTCTAAAAGGGAAAAAGAAAATTAGATCGTTTCATTAATGCGGAGAGAACGTGAGTACGGATTTTTTTTAAAACTTAGGACGTTCCCCGGGGTATTTGTGAGATAAAACTCAAATTGCCCGGGATTTTCAGATACTCCTACCCGCGTTATGCTTCTGTCGGGATACCCGCAAACAACATTTATTCTCTCATTTATTTTATAGGGAGTTTAATCCCGTATTTTCATTTTTCTCCTTTGGCATGCCAGATTGGGTTTAGTGAAGGGCCGAATATAAAAATTAGGATGTTAATTTTGTCTGGTCGAAAAAATTTTCTTTTTTATTTTTCAATAATTCCAAAGGTTGAAATATTTTATCTCCCATTTTTTTTTTCGTTTTTATTTATTTTTTTGTTTGTTTTCATTTGTTTTGTCTTCGAAAAAAAGATACGAATTTTATTTATGTTTTACCTCCTTTCTGAAAAATAGAAAGGTTTTTGATTTTTGTGATTTCGAATTTCTTTTTTTCGAAGTAAGAAAACAATTTATGTTGCAAGCGGGCAGCCCCGTTCATTATTATTTTTTTTTTTTTTTTTTTTTTTTTACCAAAAAATCCATTTGTTCTGGTAACGGTATTTTTTTTTTTTTTTAAATTACTTAGAAATATCGTGAAATTTTATAATAAGAATATTTTGTTAATAAATATGGCAATATGTATACGCATTGTTGTGGGAAATGAGAACCAGTCTTATCGTGCCTGCTGTCGTGCAGGACATATTCTGTAACGTAAAAATATATACATCATCTGTGTTGTATGTATAGTGCTGCTCTGTAACTGAAAATTTTATAATCTGTTTATGAATGTATTCTGTACAAAAATGTTTAGCTACGAGGCAGATTCGCCCGTTGGAGCCTTGGAGTAAATTCCAATTGTTTTTTTTTTTTTTTTTTTTTTTTTATTAAATTGAGCTACTATTTTCAAATTTTAACCATTTTGAAAAAGAGTTCCCAAAAAAAAAGGTATGGAATTTTTTACTTTGGCTCCCCCGGGGCAAAAAACGAAGCGGACCCGCGGGTAGGTCTCATTACTCATTGTTCACTCATTGTTCAAACTTCACGGCAACTAGGTTGATCATATTATTAATCTCATATTCCTGATGCGTGTATGAAGATTCTTATTTTCTTTGTCGCGGCAAGGCGAGGAAACGCGCCTACGCGTGTGTCTGTTCTGCGTGTATGTGTGTTTCTCGTGTGACCAAACGTCTCCCCGTACCTTATCGTCATCATATTATCATTAAGTATCATTAATACTATTAATATTATATCGAAAATAACGGATAATACAACACGTAGGGAATTGACGGGGAATTTTTTTTTGGGCAGGTATAATAGAAGGGGAAATTGTTCAGGGAAGGAATTCATGAAAGATTATTTAGGGTTTCTTTTTAGCTAGCTGCTACACTAGCTGAGAGGGGGGTGGGGGGAAAGAGGGCTAGATCTGGCTAGAAATGTGGGAAAATCGTCATTTTTTCGATTTGGTTCGTGAAAAACCAACTGTATACTTATAAGAAGCATACAGGATTGATTTTAAAATCAGATTAAATCTGTATACTTTAAAAAAGCAACCAATTTTAAAATCAGGTAATCTGTATACTTTGAAAAAGCATACAACATTGATTTTAAAATCAGGTAATTTGTATTCTTCCAAAGAGCTACTGATTTTAAAATCAGATGAAATCTGTATACTTTAAAAAAGCAAATACAACCGATTTTAAAATTATCTTTATATACTTTGGAAAAAGCATACGGATTTTAAATACAGACTAAAATCAAGTCAATCTGTATACCTTAAAAAAGGATACAAGATTTTAAAAACAGATGAAATCTGTATACTTCGAAAAAGTTTTTTTTTTTGATGAAACGACGAAATTTCAACATTTCGTAAGATCTTGGAATGAGCGGCGGAGCTAAAGTTACATGGTCTCCCCACACATGTGCGTACAGTGAACAAAGTTTTACAATCTGTCTACGATCGCTAGTAGTTAATATGTAATCCAGTGTATTCTCAATCGGGACTCAATTTTTAGATGATAATATTGTTGAAGGATTGAGGGTTTTGGGAAATGGAAGGTACGGATTATTATCTTGAGGATAGTGGGGGGGGGGATTATTATTTTCTTTTCATTAAATCGCTTGCTTATTAGAATGAACTGGCTGATACAACTGGTAGAATACAAGTTTTCCTTTTACATACGGCTATTACTTCGATATACGGTAGGTAGTAGTATGTAGTTGTCGACACACAATTCAATGGTTACTGGGCTTTACTGTTTACACTGTTTTATTGCTTGTTAAGTGTTTAATAATTAATAAGTTTAATTGTAGTTTAGTTAGTTAGCTTTTACGTAGCTGTCATCATCATCTTCATCATCATCATCATCATAATCATTATCATCATCATTATCATCAATAGTAATGCGGTTAAATCTACGCTTGTATGGGGGGTTGAGGGGGCAGGTTATGTATACCACTAACAATCGTAACGATTTGTCGTTAAAAAAAAATCGACAAATCGTTGCAATTTATTGGGTTAGGGTTTTTTTTTATTTTATTTTATTTTTTTTTATTTTTTAACGGGGAGTGGGAGAGACCATAGTACACATATATATTATGTAAGTATACTTATCGCATAATAATTGCTTTTTTAATAGTTTTTTTTTTTTTTTTTTTTTTTATTGCAGCGTTCCGAACTCCTTGCCTGAATTAAAAATCATCACTTTGTGCTGGATTGGGTTGGGGGTTTTGTGTTTTTGTTATATGTGCGTCACCTCTTCACGTTTATTCTCTTTCTCTTGATTTTTCTTGTGTTCCGAATAAATTAAGTTTTGAAATTAGAATTTTTGAAAATCTGTATACTTTAAAAAAGCATACAAGATTGATTTTAAAATCAGGTAATCTGTATACTTTAAAAAAGCATACAAGACCAATTTTAAAATCAGATGAAATCTGTATAGTTTAAAAAAGCATACAACACCGATTTTAAAATCAGATGAAATCTGTATACTTTAAAAAAGCATACTAGATTTTAAAATCAGGTAATCTGTATACTTTAAAAAAGCATACAAAACCGATTTTAAAATCAGACTAAAATCAGTTAATCTGTATACGTTAAAAAAGCATATAAATAAAATGGTATATCGAATTAAATAAATTGAATATGTTAATCGTGAAAAAAAATATGAAAATCGTGAAGAGGCGGGAGTTTTGATTGATCCAGTTTGGTTAGAGAAAAAAGAGGCAGCGGGCGAGCATCGGTCAGACTTTGGGTGGGCGTTCGGTCTATGTCGGGCCCCTTTGTATAATTTTAGTATTTTTTTTCGTATAAAATCAACACTGAAGGCACATTCTATCGGACGAGTCGGCCCAGTGTGTGCTGTGAGTGAGAGAAGGCGCGGGACCCGTTCAACATGGCCAAATGGCTGCGACCTCCGTTTATGGCCACCGGGGGCCTTATGCACCCCCAGCTTTTTTTTTCAAGGATTTAAGACTAGGAAGGATAGGGTTGGTTTTTTTTAGCGATTTTGGATTTTTTTTTTGGATTCAAGGGGGGAATTAGAATTAATTATTATTATTATTATTATTATTATTATTTTAAGTATATATTTATTGATGGTGGTCGCAACCGGGCCCCGCGCGAGAAACTGTTTCTTTGTGTGACGGTATTTTTATCCGGTTGCCTTCTTCTATTGCGTCGGGTTTTGGGGGTCTGTTCGCTTTTTTCGCTTTTCATCGAAATGGCTATTTCAAAATTGAGAGCCGGCCCGACGCTCGCCTGACTCTTGCCCAGGTGTAAATGAAAAATTCTCATCGAGAGAGGGGGAGGGGGGGGGTAATTAAGTCTCACGTGATCGTTCAACATTACTTATTGTCAAAATGATGATTTTTTCAAGATTTTTCAGAAAAGGAATTTATTTTCTTTTTGATAACTCAAAACCAGTTTTATCGAAATTATTTGTGAATTGATGTATATAAATGATTCGAAAAATTTGGCATTAATTTGTAAAAAAAAAAATTCAAAAATTTCTTTATAATACCTTGTATCATCATTTTTAAAGAACGATGTATGAGCAATGTCGAAACTCCCACGTGAGATTTAATTACTGGACAATAATTATGAAGCTGTGTGTGTATGTGTGTGTATGTATTTATAATGTTTCGTGTAAAGTATGTTTACATTTAAAATTGAAAAGTTCGTCGGAGAGGGAAATAGTTATTTTAAAATGGAAGAACACAATAATCACCCAATTATTTAAAATAATTTTGAAATTTAATTTGTCTATATATCAAAGAAATTAAATTCTTTAAATATACAAGAAATTTCTTTTTCTCTTCAATTTCAAGGGTGGTTATTGTTAATTTCTTTCTTTTTTTTTTCTATAAATATAGCTTTTCCTACTGAAATCCATTCACCCTCTGACAACAGGAAACTATTAACAGCTGGGCAATTTTTAACTTGCGGATATATTAGTACTTATACGAAGCAATGATACCGCAATATCGTCGATATTTTCCAAAAAAAAGCTTCGCGATTTCATATAACATATAATCGTTTTCAATTTTTTTTTTTTTTTCGCGAGTCAAGGATGTATTGAAATACGCGATACATTATTTATTTGACTCGAATTTTTCTTTTTCTTGGAAAATCACGCCGATTTACGGTTTAGACTTACAGTAATAATAATAATAATAATAATAAAAATAAAAGTAACATAAATAATAATAATAATAATAATAAGAATAAAAATAAAAAAAAAAATAATAATAATAGTAATAAAAATAATAAAAATAATAATAATAATAATAATAATAATAATAATAATAATAATAATAATAATAATAATAATAATAATAATAATAATAGTAATAATAATGATAATAATAATAATGATAATAAAAATAATAATAATAATAATAATAATAATAGTAATAATTGTAATAATTATGGTAATAATAATAATAGTTAATAAAAACTTTTAAGTCGCTAAAAAACTGCAAAACACATTTTATCGACTATTGAAAACGGTGAGCTAAGTAACGTGTGTAAATTAGTACCGTGGAATGTACAAAGGAATTCGCTAGCTAAGAAAACTTAAACTCAACAATCAGGCGGGCCTTGACGAGAAGGTCGATCGAAAAAAGAGGAAAAAAAAAAAAAAAAAATTTTTTTTTTTTCCCCTGTTTTAGAGAAATTGATTCTTCTTTCAATCGACGCGTCCCGAGGCAACGCATCAATAAACAGATGCAGAGGGTTTGGAGTCTTTCACGTGGGCTTTCTTTCTTTTTTTTTTTTTTAATACAAGGTATCAGTCATTTTTTTTTTTTTTTTTTGTTGATCGCGCACTTAAATTTTTGTTTTCTTTATTTTTATATAATTTTCTTTAAATTGCAAAAAAAAAAAAAAAAAAACATTTCTTTCTATTCACGAATTTATTGACAGTGACAAGAAAAAGTGCATTATCAATTGTATATTAAAATTTTAATTCAAATTACAAAGTGAGAGAAATAATGTTTGACAAATGGATGATTAGAAAAAAAAAAAAAATTGTTACTTTTTGTAAAATTTTTTCACAATTATTTTTTATAAATAAAAAAATTCAAATAATAATGTTTGTTTTTTTCTTCATTAATTTTTTTTTAAATAATTTTTACAATTAGTGAAAAATTTTTTTTTTTTATTTAATTTTTTTATTATTATTAATCTATTTGTTTAGAGTAAAAATATTTAATTTCTTTTTGAAGGAAACAAAAATTAAATTGCAAAAAAATTATTTCGATAATTATTTCTCTCACTGAAAAAAAAAATTGAGCTAAATGGTGCCTCGTAGGTGGCGCCACTGTCATTTTGAACTACAAGAAAAATCCCATTTTTTTTTTTTTATCAGTAAATCGACATTAGGGTTTTATAGTAAAAAGAAAATTTTAATTCAAAAAATACAATTGTTAAAAAAAAAATTCGAAATATTTCTTTTCAAATCTTTGATTTTGTTTTCTAGATTTTTCTTTCTGTTAAAAAAAAAAATTCAATTTCCAATTCGTTAATATATTAAGAGGGGGAGGGAAATAGTGCGCTTTTTTTTTACTTTAGATTTCAATCAAGTAGATTTATTTTAAAATATCGAGTCTCATTCAATATTGATTCTTTTCCAATTACAAAAAGGGAGTCTTGCCAATTAATCGAAAGGTGAAGGGGGTGGGGGTCGAGTAAATGTACTCGTTATTCTGTGAGGTTATTCTCCGAGGATGTTTAGGTGAGGTTTTTTTTTTTTTAGGAGAGGGGATGAAGGAAAGGTCTCTAAGTTTAGCATAGAGTTCCAAACGCTCCGTGGTCTACAGACATTCAATATTAAACAGATCAATCAACTATGTCGTCGTATAATACCACTAGGATACTTAATAATCGTAAGTTTATATCAATAATATAATTATATTTATATATTTATATATTTATATTGTATTAGATGTTTATTAATGCTGTGTGTGTGTGTTTTTTTTTTTCCTGGTGTGTATTTTGTGTTTCATTAAAAGCTAGCATAAAAATGATGGGTAAGAAACGACCACAAAGTTATACTTTCCCACCGGTACCACAGGGCGAACCACGTGCGTCACGACTCGTTCAACGATTTAAAATTCTTTTTTTTTTTTTTTTTTTTTAAACCCTTCGTTTTTGGGGTTTAGAAAAAAGTCGGGGCGCACCCTTAAAATTTCTGAAATTCACCCGAATTACGGATATTACGACCGCCATGTACCGGGTTGTCTCTTTTTTTTTTTAAACCTAGTTATAAGTATTAATCAATAATAGGTATAATTCAATTAATATTCTTATTTATCGTTAATATTTAGTTTATAGTTTTATTCGAATAACACGTACGGATTGGAAGCAAACCTTATTTCATTGTGGGAAGGATTTTTTTTCATTTTAAAATTGATTGTTTTTTTTTTTTTTTGGGAAAAGGATTTTTTTTTTGGATGCTGTTGGAGGGACGAACTCGTTGTCCCGCGCGAAAATCTGCGAAAGTCAGGAAATCGAATCAGGCTATTTTTTTGTAAGACTTTTTTTTCCTTTATAGTATTTTTTTTTTTGGATATATATATATTATTACTCATTGTGATAATTATATATATTTTTTTTTAATACCATTTTTCTGCGGACGATTATGATTGTTTGACATCTTTTTTTTTGTTTGAGTTTTCTAATTCCCTTTCGGATTTTTTCTCGTCGAGTTCTGCCCCTTTTGGGCCATCTCATTTTTCTCGACTGTGATTTTTTTGACCTCACAATTTTTTTTTTTTTTTTTTGTGATGCGAGTGATGCGATGTCACGATGAAACAATGAGTCACAGTACAATTCATTAGTTCGCAGCTTCTTCTTCTTTTTCTTAATCCTTGATTCGTGCCCTTCTAAATATTTTTTTTTGTTATTACAAAAAGTGTATTGAGACAGATTTGCGTAACTGTGAGGAATAGATCAGGTTTTATGGATGATTGTTGGATTTGGTAGGCGGTATTTGTTCTAAGGGGGGGTTGATTCTGAGATTACCATACGAGAGGTTGACGGTCGTTGAACTTCGCTGTGATCGATTCTCATCATTTTTTTTTTTTCCTGTTATCAAATTTCCTTTGATTTTTCATTATTTCTTAAGATTTCATTTCTTAAGATTTTTGTATACAGATAATCCTGAAATAATGACGGATCCTGTTTTTTTAGCGGAGTTGAAGCTGTTTCAAAAAAAAAAAAAAAAAAAAAAAAAACTATTGCACAAATAGTATTTTTAATACTGAAGAATTAGTAGCACCATCAACGACCCGTACGGTGTATGTCCTATATGTATTTTTTTTTTTTCTTTTATTATTATTTTTAATCATGCACACTTAACGAACGTTATGTTCCTTTATTAAAACGCAAGCGTAACGATTGCTGTCACATGTCGTTTACATCGTTGAACGGTTTTTTGATCTTATCAGTATGATAGACGAGCTGGCCCAAACGCGCAGACGTTATGGTGGGGTCACCCAAAAAAAAAAAAAAACAAAAAAACCCAAAAAAAAAAACAAATTTTCGCATTTTTCACTATTTGTGAGTGACCCATCCACTCGCGTCAACATGCAGGAAATGTTTTTCTTTCTACTCGAAAAGAGTCTTTTTTTTTCTTTATTTTTTTCTAGAAGGGTCTCGGGGATGTGGAGGATGTTTCGGAGATTTGATTTTGTTCCCAAAGCGGATTCATTATGTTTTCGTTGGTGATTTTTTTTTTTTTTTTTCAGTATTTACTATAACCAATGATATTCGCTTTGGGTGCAATTCTCCGGTGGTTACTTTATTATTATTAGTATTATTATTATTTTTTTTTTTTTTTTTTTTGGAAAAGTATATACTAAGGCCGATTTTGGTAAGAATACGCTTTTGATCAACTTTTAATTTTAATGTAAGGCGCAAACGTGAAAACTTGTACTTTTTTCCTTGATGTGTCTTTTGGATTCGGGCCGAAACTGCATATGTTCGTATGGTTGTTTTAATTTTTTTTTTCAATTTTTTTTTTTTTAATATAGGAAGAAATCCATTGCCATCTGATGTTAATTAATGTTTATTTGGAAAAAATCTTTTTTTAGAATATATTTTTTTTTGGGGGGGGGGGATATTAAAATCAGATAAAATAACAACTCTTTTTTTTAGCAACACCTATATCACTTGATAATTTTGCCTAAAGCCATGAAAATCACAAAATTTTTCGATTCCCTGAGAAAAATGCCCAAGAGTTTCGTACCCTTTCTTTTTTTTTTTTTTTGATACGCGATAATTTTCTTAGTGACTTTATTATAATGCCCAACGAGCGAATATAAATTGGATCAAAAATAATATTTAATTAACATTGGATGGCAATTTAAAAAATTAAAGGACTTCCCCTATAGGACAAAATCACGACCAATATTTGTGATTTTTTTTTTTGTATAAAGTGTTCAAAAATGACACATGCGAATATGTTCCACAAGTCCCCGTGTACTCGTTTAAATTTTTTTTTCTTCTTTTTTTGTGCCAAAGAACTAAATTTTTGCTTCCCCTACTTTCACTTTTTTTTTTTTTCTTCTTTTTTTTCATATTCTCGTCTTGTGCGCAACCGAGGATAGCGAAATAAAAAAGTGTCTTAAACGAAATCCGAAGAAAAACGCCGGAAGAACGTTGAAAAATGAAAAACTATATATATATATATATATATATATTATTCATATATATCGAAAATGGCAGTTCGTCAAATATCGTAATGCGTTCATCAAAGTAGACAGGTTCCCATCAAATAAACATTTTGTTCAATTTTGCATTCAAGAATTAGGTCCAAATTTTTTTTTTCAATTCGTTAGTCTATTGCAAAGAAATCCGGTTGATTTTACCAAAAAAAAAGAAAAAATTTGTTTTGAATCCAAATTCGGATACAAAAAGGACGGAAGTATTTGAATATGGAAAATTATTCACAATTTGGACCATGCATTTTTTTTTTTTCTTGAAAACAAATTGACAAAATGAGATGAGCCTAAAAAGTACTTGCTGTGACAACGATGTCCCACGATGAATCTTCCTTGTTTTTTTTTTTTGTCTTAAAAAAAAAATTCTGGAAGATCAATGTGGGACGCAGAAAAACAATTCCCACAATCGTTCAAGACTTTCCCATCGATCGATTTGCCAACTTTGTCAATTGTAAAAAAAATTTCTTCAGTTTTTTTTTTTTTTTTTTTTTTTTTTCTTCAATTGGCAATGTATGGTCCTCTTGATTTCTGAGATTAGAAAGATTTATAGAACTGTAGATTTGGTCCTCTCATTGATGGTACGGAGGTTTTTGATCCTCTCATGAAGTATAGAAAATATGAGATACTTTTCTCTATGAGATTTTAATTCTCATTATAGAAATGAAATAGAAAATTAAAGTTGGCAAATCGGACTCGATGTATTAACAAAAATTTTTTTTTTTTTCTTATTTTTATTATTTTTTTTTTTTTATTATTCTTTTGAAGGGTCTGCGTTTCCTCTGAGGACCTAGACTCAGTGTGGCGATCTAGCTTACATCCTCACACATCAATTTAGTTGCTACTGCTCGTTCGTATTTTATTTATTTTTTTTTTTTCGTTACTAAATATTATTACTCTTATTCAACTAGGAGCTTCTAATTTTATAAGTACGAATAACCTACTCCACTGCTTGTTGATACGTATGTTCAATTGTGTGTGTGTGTATATATATATATCTTTTTCTTCAGGAGGTCCATACATATACACTCTAATCTCATGTGTGTTCATCTTTATACACGCCTAGCGTTCTTCATCCTGTCCTCCCCTTTCACAAAAAAAAAAATTTTCTTTTTTCTAACTTCTTTGGAATGATTAATAAGGAATTTTAATTTAATAATTTTTGGTTTTTGTGAAAAAAATTCTCAAGGGAGGTTAACATTCTTGCGTTTGCGCAAAGTTGAAACATTCTGCGCAGACGCAACATGTGTTTAACCTATATACAAAACCGATTAATAGAGAGATTTTAAGAAAACGAAATAAAAGAAATTAAAAAATCAGCGATTATTTAGCAAAGGGAAATTAAAAAAAAAGTTCCACAGCCATTGAAATTCCAAAGAAGATAATAAAGATAGCAAATAATATTAAAATAAAAATGAAGAAAAATGAAATGAAAATGAAATAGCAAAAAAAAAAAAAAATGAAATCGAAAATAAGAATAGAAAGAAAAATTGGAAAAAAAACCCCCCGGGAGGACCAACTATTGGTTGTTGAATGTAATTGGCCAAGGGGATGAACGTTTCGGAACGAGGTATATTTTTTTTTCTGTCTGTATAATCATTCTTACATAAGGTTTTACTCTAGGTGACCGGTAGGGTTTTTTTTTTATGGATAGCACTGTTCGTCCACTGCGTACTTGATGTTTTTTTTTTTTTTTTTTTAAATATATATACCTAATTATTATTAATTTTTTTTTTTAAATTTGAGCGCTAATTGTGAATTTCGATAGCGCCACTGAGTCGGACGACGGGACCGTGGTAGCAGAATTTTTATTTTTCGTTTTCTCCACATTCACACAATCAGATTCATTCATCTTCACTGCCAAAAGACGTGTTGTATGTATATAATGAGCTGGTGTCTCTACTCGCCAAAAGAGCTGCCAAAGAGTATCGTGCATAAAGGAAAGGACATAATTTTAACGTAGTAATTTTTTTTTTAATTTTACTTATACATTTAACGGTCATTATAAATTTCATCACTTTTTCTCCCTTTCCCCCCTATTTTTTTTTTTTTTTTTTTAATTTTTTTCATTTTTCGACTTCTTAATTTTTTTTTTTTTTAAATACTAGTTGTCTTTACAATATATTTGCGGACCTCCCGGTAGGCAAGGAGGTCGGCTTTTCTCTGTATAATTTTTTTTTCTTCTTCTTTCTTTTCTTTCTTTACTCATTCAAACTCTATCTATATCTCTTTCTCTCTTTCTCACTTATTCTCCCTCTCGCTTTCTTCTTTCTCTGTCTCTTCTAGGATCGGTTTGCGCCGAACGTCTCTAGCCCGTGGTTCCGAACTCAGTCCGAAATCGCATATATATATATATAATATATATATATATGTTGTTATTATCGATGACGATCTTTCGCTCGTTAATCCAAAAAAAAAAAAAAAAAAAAATTTTTTTTTTTTTTGGTGAGATCACGAGAGATTTTAAATTTGGCTTCAACGACGGTCGCATCAAGGACACTTGGCTCCCTACGCTTCTGCACCATCCACATTATTCGACAAAAAATCGCAACCCCTCCCCCCCACCCCTAAAGTTTCTAATAACCCCCTTAACTCTTGGATTCCAAGATGCGCTCATTAAATTTTTTTTTTTCTTTCGTTGATTCAATATTTTTTTTTTTTTTTTTTTTCAATGCCTAATTGAATTTTGCTAATTATTATTACAGTAAATAACTGTAATTTATATTTGTATTGTACAAATTTTTAAATTATTTTGCGAAAAATCATTTTGAAAAAAGAATAGAATTTAAAAAAAAAACAACAAATTGTTTTCATCAAGAGCTGGAGTATCGACAGCCTCTTGAATTTCTGTAAATTATATATATATTTATATATCTTTGAATTTAAAAATTACTAATTTGAATAAGTTAAATTTTACTAACAGTTGAAAAAAAAATGTCGACTAAAATTTAATTGAATTTCTTTTCAATGGGTTAAATTTAATCTTTCGAGAGGTTAATGATTCTGCGTCTGCGCAGAATGTTGCTACTTTAAATTTTTCGAGAGGTTAAAGGTTCTGCGTCTGCGCAGAATGTTTTGCTTCTGCGCAAATGTAGAATTTAATCTCTCGAAAAATTAAATTTAACCAAAATGATGAAAACGTGATTTTTAAAATGAACAGTTTTTTAAAAAAAAAATATATATAAATTAACAGAGAGCTGGAGTATCAACAGCCTCTCTTATTCTGTAAAATATATTTTTATTTCGAAATAACAAAAATTAATTAACATGTTAATTAAAAATTATTTTTTCATGTTTAATTATTAAAATTAAGATTATAATTTCTAAATCCACAACAATTTTTAAGAAATTCAGAGAATTATTTTTTTTTAACTTTGATTTTGAGAGCTGGAGTATCAACAGACCTCTCAAAAATTCATTCTGTAAATTAAAGTTAAAATTGATGTATGTTATAAAAAATAAAAATGTTCCAAGAGCTGGAGTATCAACAGCCTCTTATTCTGTAAAATATCACAAAAAAAATGACAATATTCCACAAAAAATTGTTGTAGTTTTAAAATTCATTGCTTTGTAAAATTTAAAAACTGTTCATTTTTCTTTATCTTTCGAAATTTATCTGTAAAAAAAAAAAACAATTTTTTTAAATATTAAATTCACAAAGTTGGAGAAATCGACAACTTTGATTAAATAATATATATTGAATCAGTGATATGTAAAAGGATCTTTATCCTTCGATAAATTATTATTATTATTATTATTATTTCTGAGCGATCTCATATGAATCCTTGAGCTTCCTCATTCCACGCCTGACCACAACCGCGCCAAAATCCATTATCTTAACACTCTACATGTACGAGATTATCACACAGAAAATTTTTTTTATTTTTCGCACGCGTTCAACAATCAGTTAGTAACGCACGCGGTACTCGCATAAAAATGTAATATTAATTATTCTTTCATTTACACAAAAAAAAAAAAAATTCTCGCTCTTTCATTTTATTAATATCAGTCGCACAAAAAAAATTTTTTTTTCTCACGCACCGGAAAACGGATAATTTCAGGAAGACGCTTTTCTTTTTTCTAAATTCTACGAAAAAAAAAAAAAATCTATCAGCGTCCTCCTTCGATTGCAATTTTTTTTTTTGTGATACACTCTAATAGTCGAGGAAATTGTCTCTCATTAACTTACTCCGATTCTCGTTTATCACGACTTAATCACGAAAAACTCGATAGTTAATAATAATCGTATTAATAATTAGTTTATTAGTTTAAGGTAGGTGTGTCGCCTGCCACTTTTTATCTTTAATTAATCGTAATATAATAATTAATAGCTTGCAAGTGTTTAACGTTAAATACTATTACTTAATATTCTGTTTACGTTATTTTTTTTTTTTTTTGCCTTATTTACGCGTTTAGGTATGTACGTATTATTTATTCTCTCTTATTTTTCCCCACATTTTTTTTTTCTTACCACCCTTGTGTTTAGAGTATCCGTTTATCTCTTAAAGTTTTATTATCGTCTCCTTGCACTGATACGGCGAGTCGATCGATTATAAATTTTTTTCTTTTTTTTTCATTAAAACGGTTTTTTTCTTATCTAAACAAATTTAACTCTTTTTTTTTTTTTTAAATAGTGTCGAGGATATTTGAAAATGGTGCTTTTATAGTCACTTCGCGCACCACTTTTACTATCTTTTGCTTCGTTTCATCTTTTTCTTCTGTTATTTGCTTTTATTTATTATTATTTATTATTAATATTTATTTTTTTTTTTATTATTAAAAAATCGGTTTCATCGATCTCGTTTTTTTTTATTCGGTCTGTCATTCTCTGGACGAGATGGCAGAATTCTTGACAAAAAAAAAAAAATGTTTCTTCCAAATTCAAAAAAAAAAAAAAATGTACCGTATAGTTACAGAGTGAAGAATATTTCATATAATAATAACTGTGACGCAATCACCGCGGCGGCGTCCAGATAGAAAATTTACAATTAAAAATTACTTCGATGATTTGAATTTTCGATAAGAAAAAAATTGCACTGAAAAATTGTCAATTTTTTTTTTTTTTTTTTTTTTTATTTCAACTTTCGTCAAAAAATTTTGTCTCGTTAAATACAACGCGATTTGATTTTTTTTTGTGTTCAAAAAAAAAAGCAAAAGAAAAAAATGATTTGCAGAAAAAAAAAATAATTAGAGCTTCCCTCGACTGTAAACAAAAATTTCGTTTTGTTCAAAGTTGTAAAAAAAAAAAAATTCTAATCGCCCTTAGGCCAATGCCAAAGAAATGAAGAAAATTCTTAGGCCAGAAAAACGTTTTTTTTTTTTTTTTAAATGAGCTTTTAAAATTTACAACTTTGAAACATTCAAGGCCCAAGATTTTTAAGCCGAGAAACAGTCGAGGGTTTTTTTTTCTGGATATATAAAAAAAAATGGATGGAAAAATTGGAAATTAAAAATAAATTAATAAAGCAAATTATATTTAATGTTTTTTTTTTGTTTTTATTTGCGTGAATAATAAATAAAATTATCAATAAATCGATTGATAATAATTAATTAAAAAATAGTGACTCGTGACTAGGTTAAGACTCACCGCTTGCAAAAGTGTGTGTATTATTATATAATATATAATATATATAATATAATATAATATAATATATACTAAGCTAAATCATACAATAAATCTAAATCATAATCTCAACTACAGCATTTTTTTGGGGAGGATCTAAAATACATTTGGGAATATGAAATACTGTGGAAAAATAAGAGGGGGGGGGGAGGGGAGTGCAGGAAAAATTGCGTGTAAATTAAAATTAGCTTAATTAAAATTAACTCATAAAAATATAATAAAAAAAACCCCGACGTGACATTGGATTTTAGCGATAGAAATAGTATAAAGATAAAATTGCGAAATCTCGCTATAATCCAAAATAGTAATTCTTTTTTTTCTTTTTATCTACAATTGATCCCTCTCATTGAGAGTGCAACAATAAGAACACAAATTTCGCGTTTTTTTTTTTTTTTTTTTTTTTTTATATCTATAAAATAATTGTCTACGTGCATCTATGCGCAATAATTCGTGTTCAACATTGATGAAATCGCGTCGTTATTAACTTCTCAAAAAATTTTAATATATCTATATATATATTTATATATAATTATATTCTCTCAATATAATCTACTCTAAATAGATACGTACCCGCGTCTAATGTCAATTTCACCTTATCTTTGTCTACTACTATCAGGACGCCGCCGGTACGATTCACTCTCTTCTTTTTTAATTTCTTTTTTTTTTTGTTGTTTTTTTTTTAGTATTCTTTACACGTTTATCTCGACACTAGCCTAGCATCTCAAATAATACTAATAGTAACGAATATTATTAATTATATTTAATTATCATTAATGCCTCGCGGAAGAACGTATGTTTTTTTATGTTTCCCCCCCCCTGTTAAAGTTACAAACTTTAATTCCGTTTGGTTTCGAACTTTAAAATTCTCAAATTAGTTCCAAATATTGAAAATTGATATTTTAGAGTTGTGTTTTAAAGTTCGAAATTTTCATTCAAAGTTTGCTACTTTAAATAAAAATTTTTTTATTCAATGTATTTTCTTTAATTTTTTTTTCGAAATTTATTGTCTCCCATACGAAAAATGTTTCTTTGAATTGAAAAAATTTTTTCTTTAATACAGAAGCAAAGAAACCTTTTTTTTTAATTTAACAGAAAAAAAATTTATTTGATTTAATTTTATTTATTTTAAATTTATTTAAATTAAATTTATTTAATTTAAATTTATTTAATTCAAAATTTATTTAATTCAAAATTTATTTAATTTAAATTTACTTAATTCAAAATTTATGTAATTTAAATTTATTTAATTCAAAATTTATTTAATTTATTACAGTGAAAAAAAATTTATTTGATAATAAAGTAACCGATTATTTGAAATTAAATAAATTTTTTTCCACTGTATATTTATTTAGAATAAAAAAAAAAAAAATTCTTTGTAAATCAAAATAAAATTTTTTTCCTAAATTAAAGATAAATCCTATAGCAAAGAAATACTTTTTTGATTCAAGGAAACATTTCACTGTAAGGATATAATTCAAAAATAATGGACCAACTTGTTTGAAGTTGTTACGGATAAATTTTTTGTTTAAATTGTTGTAACATAAAATTTGTTTAAACACCCATGAATTTTGTTTTCAAAATTGTGTTAATGACGACTAATTTTTATTGTATTTAGGTAAAATTAGACTTGTCGAATGTAAAACTAATTTACTAAAACTATAAAATTAACGAAAAATAAGAAAAAAAAAATCCATCGTTCTGATATTAAATCTCCGCTGAAACACAGATTATCAAAAATTATTTTTTTTTTTTTGGAACAATCTGTATCTATCCTAGCATTAATGCATTTTTGGTCCAATAGCATTAAAAAAAATTGTACGTATTTTAAATTTGCTGAGAAATTGAGAAAAAAAAACTATCCACTTTCCTTAACGAAATCTTTTCGCGAAGTTTTCGTATTTTTTTTTTCTTTTAATTTGCCCTTCGTGAAAAGCCCTCGTCATCCATTCTCTCTATTTTTCCAACTCGCATCCATTCTGTTGCACGAAAAAATAATAATAAGTTGCGTCACGTCGATCGTACTTTGCTCTGTGGCCTATACAATACAATTTTATATACAATTTTAAAGAACCCGAAAGTTCAAAATTTGGTATTTAAATACCTTTTCTAAAAAAAAAAATCTGCCCTTTTTTTTATATTTGCGTTTGCAGAAATGCCATTTTGGAGTTCTCGTCATCGAGTCATCTCCAAGGCCGAAATGGTGCTCGTCACGTATTGCAAAAATTTCTCCCAAGATAAGAGATTGCATCTTTTAGACGTTTTTCATTTTTTTTTTATTTTTTTTTTTTTAACTCTCGATTTTTGTTCTAAAAAAAAAAAAGAAAAAAAAAACAATTCTTCACAGCACGTGACGAGTATCACAATCACGAAATTGTACCAGAAGAGTATGTCGATAGCGAATTTTTTTTTTTTTTTTTTTATTGGGTAACGACATGGAATTAAGCGCTTGGCGATTTATTCCACATCGTTCCATTGAATTTTATTTTTCATATTAATAATTTTGATAATTAATTTAAGTTCTTTGAACTTCATCGAAAAAAAAGAATTTTTATCTCGACAACTCAACTAGGATAGTTTCGTGTATTAAAGTGCAAGAATTAATAATTTACAAAGCCCTTTCATTTTTTTTTTTTTTAAATTAAAATACAATTTTCGTATAAAAAAAAAAAAATGCTTCGATTGAAAAAGTCAATTTATAAACAATAAAATTGTGCGCGAATCGACCTTCTCATCCGGATTTTTGTCAATTAATGAAAATTGTCATCTCGCCCAAATTTCACATTATTCGAGATTTATTTCCTATCACCCAACAAAGATTTTTCTTATTTTGTACATCGAAGTACGGATCGGATTATATCCGATGTAAAAATCTTCATATGTCGACGAAGATTTTATTTTATTTTTAAAATTTTTTAAAAATGATGATCTCTCGGTGGTTTTTTTTTTTTTTTTTTTGCTTTCGTTTTTCCTCTCGCTCAGTTTCGATATGTTACTAAGGATACCTGATGCGCTTCCATCGACGGTCAATCACGAGATTAAAATCCTTCTCAGCCGTCGTTGTCAGTTTTTTTTTTTTTTTTTTTTTCTCTATACCTCTGCCGATCATCAAGCAATCACACTCGATGCTCTGCTAATTTATGATGTGCAGAGAATCTATTCCAATTGTTCCAGGAAATTTGGACTTTTAAAGTACTCTGGTACCGGATCGTCTAGCCTTGAGATCACTTTATAGATTGATTTCTTCCATGATTGCTCCGTGTCCTTACCACCTTGAATAGCTTTGAAAAATTCTTTCAAAGTTTGCTCCACAACGTACCTAAAATTGCCAGGCACCTGAAAATCAAAAAAAACACCATACAAATTAAATTCGTTACAAATTTTTCATTACTTTTTTTTAAAAACATTCAAAAAAGCAGCGTGACGATAAAAATAGCATTTAGCAGAAAAAAAATAACATAACATAACAGCAATTTGCAAAAAATAATCCCACTTGGAAAGATTCCACGAAAAGTGCCCCCCTTGAGGTTCTATCAGAATTCCACCGGAACTTCCAACGTAATTCCGTCGGAATTCCAAAGAATTTCCGATGTGATTCCGACAGAATTAGGACTCTAAAAATATTGGAAAAAAAATTGATCGGAATCCCATCGGAAATTCTTTGGAATTCCAACGGAATTATGTTGGAAATTCCGGCGGAATTCTGATAGAACCTCCAGGGGTCACGGAATTAGGACTCTAAAAATTTTGAAAAAATAATTAATCGGAATCCCATTGGAAATTCTTTGGAACTCCGACGGAATTACGTTGAAAGTTCCGGCGGAATTCTGATAAAACCTCCAAGGGTCACTTTTCGGCGAGTTCCGACGGAATTAGGACTCTAAAAATTTTGAAGAAAAAAAATTGATCGGAATTCCGTTGGAATCCCATTGGAAATTCTTTGGAACTCCGACGGAATTACGTTGGAAGTTCCGGCGGAATTCTCATAGAACCTCCAGAGGTCACTTTTCGGGGAGTTCCGACGGAATTCCGACGGAATTAGGACTCTAAAAATTTTTGAAAATAAAAATTGATCGGAATCCCATCGGAAATTCTTTGGAACTCCGATGGAATTACGTTGAAAGTTCCGTCGGAATCCCATCGGAAATTCTTTGCAACTCCAATGGGATTACATTGGAAGTTCCGACGGAATCCCATCGGAAATTCTTTGCAACTCCAATGGAATTACATTGGAAATTCCGGCGGAATTCTTATAGAACCTCCATAGGGGTCACTTTCGGGCGGAATCTTTCGCCAAGTGGGAAATATCAAAATAGCATTGTGCGTGTTCAGTTTCATTTGCGCACCTGGGGACCCCATACCTCAATGTGGTTGTTGCGGTTGTAGTGAAGATTGAGAACTCGATAGATTTCCGAATCACCTCCAACTCGAAGATCATCAGAATTCTTGACACCCTCCGATACAGCTTGTCTCGCGTATTTTTCCATCTGAATGTAGTAGAACTCTCTGTAAAAAGAAAAAAATGCAAAAAAAAAAAACGTTAGAATTTTCACTTCAATTGTTAACTATTTATATATAAAAAAAAATATATATATATATATTGCAATATGTCTTTGAGATAGTAATGCGGTAAAGATAGACACGTACAAGATATGTGCGCCTGCCACTAATTAATTAAAGATCGATATACTAAAGAGCGCGTAGGGATGACGTAAAGCTTGAAGAGAGAGCGCAAAAAGGTGCAACGCGAGAAAAAAAAAAAAAAAATTCACTCTTGTCGTTCAACGTCGTCACACAACTCTAAAGGTGAGTTCACTTGGAAAAAAAAGAGCACGCGACGTCGCCCACATTTCAAAGGGGTTGGGACGAACGCCTCCATGTAACGAGCTAAGAAGACAGAAGAGAAAAATTCTTCCAAACAAATATATAGAGAAAAGTTAATTAAATGCCAAACCATACCTATTTCCTAATTAGTAATTAGTAATTACTAATTACTAATTAGAAATTACTAATTACTAATTAGAAATTACTAATTACTAATTACTAATTACTAATTACTAATTATTAATTATTAATTACTAATTAGCTACTGTTACTAATTATTGACCTGCCAATTCAGAAGAAACCTTTTTCCATCAATATTTTTTATTCCAATAAAAATATATACTCAAGGGATGATTTCATTTTAAAAAAAACCATTTTTTTGAGATGCATTACTCTTAAAGTAGAATCAATCCCATGGGAGAGTTGATCTTGCGTAGGGAATTCAAAACAAGATTTTCACAGTTCACTGGAATTGCATTTTCTTGTGTCTCGAGCAATTTTTAAGATTGCTTCTGACTGTTTATGAGGCAAGACAAATTTGTTATAAATTAAACAAAAAGTTGTACTCGACGCAATATTGGTGAGCGTATAGATAAAAATGCCAATAGAATTCTATTTTTCATTTTAAAACTGAAAACATTAGTATACTAAAATAGTACTGATTTTAGATATTAAAATATAGAACCAAAATGATAATTTAGTGTATCTAAAGTTGGTATTACATATTTCGTTTTGCAGTGAAACAGATATATAGGATTTCAATTCAAACGGATTTTGAATCTATAAATATTATGGCTATTGAATCAATAGATCAAAAGGGATGAAAAATTACCAATTTAATATGCTATAAAATCTATATAATATTTTAAAAATTCTTTATAGCATATGCTTGAGAATCAATAATTTTTATGCCTTAATTCAATAGCATATTTTGTACAAAACATCTGAAAACTGTTTTAGTCATAGCATTTTTGCTTCTAGAGGCACAATGATTGTATTCATTGTCAATCCTTTAATAATTTTCAATTCAGAACAAATGCATACAATATTAAAATTACACAAAATCAATACACATTGAAAAACGAAAGGTATTAATTTAATACCAACTTTAGATACTAAATTGTCATTTGATTACTACTTTGATATATATACCTAAAATCGGTACTATTTTAGTAACTTTCTTCTTACAGTGCATGATCAATGATGATTAAGTCAAAAATTATTTCTTTTCACACGTTCGACTTCGTTCAGCAAACGTTTTATAGGTAAACTACTGATTTTGGATTCTAATTTTTGGTTATGATTTTGATTACGATTTACAATTTGGTTACGATTTTATTAAATTCGGAGTTTTTTCTCCCCTACCCCCTTTTTGTAGAAATCAGTTTTGAATACACATCTTTGAGAAATAATAATAACTCAGGCCAACAAAATCCGTAAACAAAAATTTCCTATCAGCTCTAGTTTTTGAGAAAAACGGTTTTAAAATGTTCAAAAATCGCGTTTTTGACTAACTTTGAGTACCTCTAACACTGAAACAAAAGGTCGTAGAACCTTCCACTTGGGCTTAATTTGAAGCTTAATGTTTTAACTATTATCCCCAAAAATGACCTATCTTGCACCATAACCTCAAAGTCATTTGTTATCCATTTTTGATTCACTCACCTTTGGTTTTATTATGACTAGTTATTCAAATATTACCAAATAAGTTCTGTAGTTAAATGTCTGGTTACCAACAATTTTGTGGTTATTAGTGAATAATATAATTTTTAGGTTAAAGTTGAAACTTTATTTTAAGTTCAAATAAATGGTATTCTATGATCCTTTTTTCTTTGCTAGAGGTATGCGCTCAAACTTTTACAAAATTAATATTTGCGAATCAAAAATGGATAACAAATGACTTTGAGGTTATGGTTGCAACATAGGTCATTTTTGGGGAATAATAGTTGAAACATTAAGCCCAAGTGGAAGGTTCTACGACCTTTTCAGTGCTAGAGGTACTCAAAGTTAGCCAAAAACGCGATTTTTGAACGCATTTAAAATCCGTTTTTCTCAAAAACTAGAGCTAATAGGAACTTTTCGTTTACGGATTTGTGTTCAGCATGAAAAAACATATCAAAAAACAGGTCTGACATTTGCCGCACCAAAATCAGTGTTGGTAATTTTATAAGCAAAAGGCAGCTCTTTTATTTAGTTAATCTCAAAAAGACTGTAAATTCACAAGTGCGGAGAAATATATATATATATGAGGAGTTGGTCCCTCTTCATTCGCAGCCTCTTCGACAAACGTAACCCTTCATCTAACCAGTCACACATTGCATTGCCCTCGACATATGTCACCTGCGCGTCTATATAATCCTTATTCATCCACCCATCGAACAGCATTGAGGTTCGTCGAATCGCCAAGTATATAGGAATTTGGATTGCTGTCATATATATATCTTCATATTTCGCCAAGTGCCTAATTAAAACAGACACTCTTGGAGACAGAGAGAGATGTCGCATAATGGGATTGTAAGAGTGCAAGGGAGATAGAGACTAGGTTTTGAGTAGGACAAAAAAAAAAAAGAGCCGAGTGCTAGAATTGCCACTCTTCGAACGAAGAAGAGCAACCTCAAGAGAGATGCGAAGGATAAAGAGAGAGAGAGGCCCAACGAGTTCGCGGAGTCATTCATTATCGTATTGTGTATAATTAGAATAATAATAAGCCTCTTCACTGCCTTGGGGTTTTCGTTAAGGGGTGGGTGGGGGGGGGGGAAGAATTGATAGAGATTCCACGAGGGTGTGATTATTAGCATCTAATTACGAGACGCTTCGTTGCCGATAAGAGGAACAAGAATGCTTTCCAACCTCTTTCTAAATGACAATGCATCTTTTCAATTTAACGAAGAAGGAAATTTTTTTTTTTTTTAAATTAGTTAACTTTCTGATTTTTTAGTAGCAAAAAAATTCCCATTTGAGGGGTGAAGAAATATACCGTTAGAAGTATATATATATATATGGCTAAAAGTCGTTTCACCCCTGACTCGTTGAGATTCTCGTCTTACATTCAAGAAACGAATCTCAGCCCCCCCCCTCTCTTTTTTTTCTAACGGTTATTTGACAAACTCTAAAAACTAGATTCTAGGTAACAATTAGAAAATATTGCCAATTAAAAAATCTCACGGCAAATTTAATTGAAGAGAATTAATTCTATTAAGATCTTTTAAAAAGATGTTTGTCCAGCAGAGCGTAAGTGTGAGTATATATTCAGAGGGCGCGTTAAAAAAAGGTGTCGCACAGGGTCTTGATGTTACACCCTTCTTAATTAGTAATTAACACTTTAACGCCATCAGAGAAGTATATATATACCACAAAATCTAAGTGAGAAAAAAAAGAGAGAGAGAGAGAGGGGGGGAATGTAATTAAAATACAAGTTAACAAGTGATTACTTGATTCTATTTCATGGCGGTAGCAGCAATTATGGTATTTTTATAGCTATATATATAAGGGTTTAGAGAAGGCGAGGGTAAAAGAAGCAAAGGCAGAGAATCCGAACACAGAACCAAAAAGGGTATTCATTTTACGTTTGCAAATTTTCCATATATATTAATAAAAAAAAAATTTTATATCTACTGTATTAATTACTAAAATGTAAAATACTCCCAAAATCCTTGAAGAAAGGGTGAGGAGTCAACTATACTGTAATTTAATATTCGGAGTAATGAAAACCTTTTTTTTTTTTGGGTGATGCGCTCTTGGACCCTTCTCAATCTCTGGGTTGTCTCGTCATCACCCTGCGCTCTGTTAAGCCACTTTTTTTTTTTCATGGACAAGTTTTCTAAGCCTCGGACAATCGAACGCGATCGTATGGCAGATGTGCCTCCGACAATCATGTGTTTTCTGGGCCCCGAATTGACTGGCTGCCGCCCTTTTATAAAAGAAGGGAGAGAACGAAGAACAGGGGTCCACGAACTAGAAAGTTCATGTGTGAGAAGGGACCAGACGTGACAGAAACTGAAGAGAAAAAGAGAAGGAGAGAGAGAGAGAGAGAGAGCAAAAGGGGAGCCGCGTGCCGCACGCGCCGATCTTACAATGAGTACTTCGTCTACCCCCTACGTTTTTACCCCCCCGTAGTACATCTGGCTGCCTTAAAGCTGCTTTCTCATTCTCTTCTGAGCTTGCCAAACTTCTTTTTTTTTAACCGGTTACTAATCTTCAAAATAATATATCAAAATAGTTCTAAAATTCAACAAGGATCACTAGATAAAAATTAGAACCTGTTACCTAAGAACATTTTTTTTTTTTTTGACTCGGTTTTTTGTTTAAGAAAAAAAAAAAAAAATGGGTGGTTTGTGTATTTTACTATATACTCTTGAGGGGGCAGCTGCTTTGAACGGTTTTACTCTTGAATAGCCGCGGTCCACCCCTCCTTTTTGCCAACGGTTTTGCACCCCCCCCCATGTCCTATTTTTCACCCTACGTCTCTGATGTGTTCTCACTGCATTTTTTTTTTCTTTCTCACAACAAATGATCTTCGATTAAATAATCAAAATATTCACCGAAAAGTATAATAGTGTTTCACTATTAGAATAGCGAAATATTTAATTGAAACAAAGTATAAAATTTAAATTACAGTAAAATAATTCGTTCCCTCACAGCATCGGATATTTAAGGATATCCCTAGGACATCCTGGGGATAT